GCAAGCGTGTGCTGCTTGCCTGTGGCATGCAGGCTTTTACACAATGTTCGGGCACGAATGTGCTCCAGAACTATAACCCAGGTTTATACCGATCCTTGGGCTTGTCGCAATCCACTTCGCTCATCCTGCAGGGCATCTGGGGTGCATTGGCCCAGTTTTGGAACACCGTATTCATACTCTTCATCGATCGGGTCGACCGTCGCAAGCTTCTCATTCCGTCGTTGCTGGGTATGGGCGCCACCATGTGCGTGGAGGCTATCCTGGGGCAGGTGTACAATAACTTTGAAAGCGTGGCGTCACCGAATCACAGTGCCGTCCGTGCTGCAATCGCTGTATTCTTCGTCTTCTCGTTCTTTTATACTAGTCTCGGGCTCATCTCTTGGATCTATCAGTCCGAGATTTTCCCCACTGCCATTCGCGCCCGAGGCTCTTCTGTAGCCACCGCCACCAATTGGAGTTTGAATTTGGTTTTCGCTCAGTGTTCGCCGATCGCCCAGTCGCAAATTCAGTTCAAATACTTCTACTGTTTCGCGGCCTTCAACTGGGTTGCGGCGGGCCTCGTCTGGGCCTTGTATCCGGAGACGGCCGGCAAGTCGCTCGAGGAAATTGACCGTCTCTTCACTCCAGAAACCTCGGGGCCCGCATATGATGCAGAAAAACCTCACATTTCAATGTCGAATTCAAGAGATAAGGATTCCCTGGCGATCGTTAGTACGCGGGATACTAGCAATCATACTTCCAAAAATTGAGCAGAACACAATGTTTCTGCCACCTCCAAGGAATCACATTATATAGTATATAGATGAGCTTATGACTTGATGTCACCAGAAATAATACAATGTAGTTAGTCCAAGAAGGCATTTGGGCGATCACAAAACAGAATAAGCAGATCACGAAATAAGAAAATCAGTTAAAATGAAAGGTATCATATACTGTCATGTCTCATCGCGGATATATAAAACACCAAACCAACACCAAGAAGATGGCCAAAGAGACATGAAATTCAACGTTACAATTAGATTCGTTTCCACGTGCACACGAAGAAGACATAAGCAAAGAGGGAGGAAAAGGTGAGAGGGATGGATACAAGTCTCAAAACTGCAGTGCTGTATATGCAGGTTCCATGCCCCGAGCTATAAAGCCCGACAAAACTACAGGCCTTGGAGGGCCGGCATAACGTAATTAGTGAGAGGCGCACTGAGAATCTCTTGCCGTAAGCCATCTTCCCAAAGCGAGACAGAAGGTATTCCCGTATGTAAGGTTAGACAAGAGAAGAGAAAATAGTTCAGGTTCATCCAGCTATCAATACTGAGCCGTTTGGCCACTTTGAGCATTCGGCCTGCAAACCACGGCCGATCGTAAGGCGTCTCAGCCGTAGGGCAGTATTGCGTAAAATCGGGTGTATTTCCAAGAATACGCCTTGACTCAGGCATCTCAATCGAACCATCCTCACATGCGAGCAATATTTGCAGCAATGCTTCAACTGAGCCGCTCATGTTCACTTCGCAGTTCAGGACAGTCTGCTCCAAATTTCTGAGAAAGGCCTCACTATGCGAAACGGAGTTCCGGTAATCCCACAAGCCAGCATTGAGCATGATCAACGCAACCAGCCGTGCAACAAACTGCTTGCGGTTACCCGATGCTGTAAAGCGTAGCCCGGGAGGCGCTACGAGTATCTCATACAACAATGAAGTTGACTGGAATGCCGTGTGACGCATCGGTGCCGTGGTTAGGTTGGTGGATGTGCGTTGGTGTATAGCGAGCTGCTCACAGCGCTTGAGGAAGCCGATGAACTCACTGCACTGATTTTCAATCTCATCCACTGGGGTAGGTATGGGGTGTTGGGCGATAGTGTGCTCGATGAACGGATTTTCTGAAAGCGGCAGCTGACTCCGCACAGGCCCTTCAGCTTGGGGAACTGGCCTCTGTAGCATGGCTGGAGGATTGTATTCGAAGAAGAAGCTGGGTCCCTCTGTCTCATAGCCCGAAAGAATATAATCTTGCCAGTTTATTAGCATTCCGAGCCGTGTCTTATGAAAGGCAGATGGCCCGCCACGAAGGCGGATCATCTCCCTTGCCGCTCGCATATGAAGCCAGCTAATCTGCTTATGACCAGGCCGAGGATCGAAGTCTTCAAGGCCTGCAGCGCTTATACAGCCTATAATCGCTTCATCGGAGATGTCATCCGGGTTCCTGTCCCTCAACTCTCGTAGCATGGTAATCGCACGATCACGATGATAGAGAGCTGCCGCGTCCGGCTCCTCATTACGAACCCAGACCCATGTGCTGGCCGCATGAACGAGTATTGTGTTCTGAAATGCCACAGGTCCTTTCATGCCTTCAGGGACAAATACTGCTGTATACCAATTATGCGCCTTGGGTGAGCGGAAGTGGTTTCCGTATGAGCAAGCAGGCATTTCATTGACATAGAAGTCAAACAGCCTCTGACCCTCGGTGTCTAGTTCAAGAGGCAAAGTGTTGAATGGATCTGTGCGTGCAGCACTCAGGATCGTCTTTGGTGACAACGCTACATCATCTGGTGTTGTTGGCGCAGACGATGATGGCGTTGGAGTGCTGGTGTCGGAGATGCTGCTTTGAGACAGGCAGTAGGTCTTGGGCGAATTCGTTTTGCTTCTGAAAGATATGCCTTCAAAGAATGGCCGAACTGCAGGCCTGGAACTTAAGATGATCCTGCCATCTGTGGCATGGTTTTTCACAGCCCTGCTCGACTCTTGTTGCGCTATGAAGTCATTGAGTGTCGGCTTGGGAATATTTTCCTGCGCAAGAGCATCGGTTCCATACAGGGCTCCACTATCTTGAGTGTTGTCCGTTTGGTTTTCACTCGTTTTTGTAACCTGACCAATGGCTCTTTTTTGCTGTCGTGTCTTCTCTCCTTGCGACGAACCCTCTTCGATTTCAGCACCAGACTGCCCGCTTGCATGTCGCTTTTGACGCATATATTCCTGCATAACATGACGCTTTACTTTGGTTAAAGTACTCCTGCTGTTGTCAGAAGCATCGATAAATTGCCACTGTATCGGTGGCGGCTCTTCTGTGGACTTCTTCCCACTAGCACTGCTTGGTTCATCTGGCATATTGAAGGTTAGATGCACGATGATCTCGTGCCGCGCAAGTGCTTTGGTCTTAGTAGTCAGCCTTCATTAAGTGATGCGATAGCTGGTGTCTCATTCGGCCTGCAGGAGTAATGTTGGCTTCTCGCTGTATAGGCTCAATGGCGGGGTAGCTTGATTAACTGCTGAAGACTGTCCAAACACCAGCAGCCTTTACTGTGCTTCGCTAGATAGCCGTCTCGCTATGCTTTCGACCCTGAAACGAAAATCCTGTAGAAAGTGCGATAGCGAGGCGCATCCACGAACAGATACCGACTGAAGTTATTGCCGGCTGCCTTGGCAATGGTGCGATAAAGGAATCTAGCTGTATCCGGCAGTGTGTCTTCGGTTACATAAAAACGAGCGGCCAACTTCCGACATCCAAGTCGAAGTTGAAACAAAGCGTGCCAACGGGCGATATCAGAACGCAGCCAGAATTTAAAATGGAACTAGAAGTGAAAGTTAGTACTTGACAAACTACGCTCAAAGCATCAAGCCTATAGGGACAACGGAGAGAACAAGTTGAGGCACAAACACATACGGATCTGATAGCGATGATAAATGTAGAGCAAAGAAAAAGTTATTTATTATTAGGCCATGAGGTAATGAGGAGCGTGAAATGCTGGGAGCAGAGTACTGTCAGGATCCTGGGACTGAAGTAAGCCTGCGCTGCGCTGCTCCACTGAGTCGAATCACCTAATCATAAGCATCTTTGGAACTGAAACCTTGAATCATGGATTCAAAATCTCAAAGTAGCATGGTGACCTGAACGCCAGATTGCTTGTTCCAGTGCCAACCAAGAGGCACCAATGCAGCAGGGGGGCGGAGAGAATAATGGGGGCTGCGGTGCAGGAGATGGGGAAGTAGTCTCGGGGCCAGAGATAATAATAGCGTGTGGCTTTAGAACCTAAAACCTTGTTTTAGAGAGGAGGAACGGCAGCATTAATGATGGTGGGCGGATATGTTCGCGATCCACGAAGTGCAGAAGCTGGCTTGAACTAGTTTATGATGGTGTTGGAAGTCGGAAGTCCATTCCACTCTCCTAACTCCTAAGCATTCAACCGGGCTCGTTGGTGGGCGGCTGCTAGCGCCGCTTATCTCGGTGAACTCCACGATATCCGGAAATTCACGAAAGACTTCTCGTCTATCGACGTCATTATATCACTAGCAGTATCCTTCGCACCCTAAACACTTTATGGCTCATTGCGTGGCAGTTTATACTGGCTGCGTTCTTAATGTGAAGCGAATTAGTAGGAAAGGCGCTACCGCCACGAGAGCCAGGCTTCCTCCAAACCAGCCTTAGAAGGTAAGGTCTTTTACCTATAAGGTAAGGCCTTCTTTTTTTCTTTGTTTTCACCGCCTGCTTAATTCACAAGTAAACTGCCTGAGGCAGTAGTTAGTACCTCAGGCAGTCGAATATCCCGATCGGGATGGAGGTATTACACTGGCCAGCTATCAAAGCGAGCCTTTCATCATAAGGAAGGTGTCTTACTTTGTGAGGTAGGTGGTAGGGTATGGCATGAGCCTGGCTGGTGTGGCGGTAGCGTCTCCCTTTAGTAGCTATGCAGGAGTTTCTGTACCCCTCTGGCCCTAACTCCTGCTAACTGTACAAAGGAAGCGTTTATAGCATGAGAAAGATGAGTAATTAGAGGTCACACATGAGGAGTTGGCCATTGAAAGAGCAGTTGGGTTTGTTGGGTTAGATAGTTGCGTACTGTACTCCGTAATCTACGGTGACGGTGAAATACTGGATAAGGTAAAGCGTATCAATTGGGAAAGCGCGGAAATGCTGCTTGACCTGGCGGTGCATGGCTCATGAAGATAGAAGCTATGGTTTGCTAAAATATGTTAATGACTCTTCAAGAGCTATTTGGCTACTATTCATAACGTCTAATTTCTATTATCCATCAAGACAAAGGCGTCAACTACTCGAAGATCCCATCCATTGATCACTGAGACGTCCCGATATTTTTCCGAGAATACAATGTGGTATAAACGGTTCTGGAACTCTAGTAAATATGTCAGTTATGTCATAAGGAGGCGAGGGTGGAACTACCTGGATGGGGTTTTCGTGGCATTGTAGTGGTAAAGTCGAGAACTATATAGTCGTCCATCCGGCCTTCTTCGATTAGGGTGGAATATTGTCCATTTGGCTTGAACCTGTCCATGTGCTCTTGAAGCCGGTCACGTTCTCTGAGGAGTTCCAACCCCCACTTCTTCTGGGTAATAAGGAAGTCAATTGTTCCACCTTTAGTATCCGAATGAACCACGAACTCGGGAGACACGACAACATGCCCATCCAGTAAAGGGAAGAGACAGCGATAAAACTCCTTCTGATACTGGACTTCCAGTGGTCGGGAACTACCTGCTAACGAACGAGGCGCATGTGCTAGCTGACATGGCTGGAATCCTCTGATAACGTCGAGCGCTAGCTGTAAAGGAGTGTCGTGATCAAGTTGGTTATCAGGGCGTTTCTCGGAGAAAAGACACTGGCAATACCTAGACTCTTGGGTTAGAGAGCAGCCCAAAGTACTCTATAGGCACCCCGCCTACCAACGGTGAATTTGACTTGCGAATATGTATCGCTCTCCTCCATCGCAAATCTCTGCATGAAGCCATCCGTTGGCTAAGATATGTTCGAGACCTTCTTGTGCCTCCTTAGTTGTACCCGCGAAGCTGGATGTAAGGATCCCATCAGAAGCAATGGCTTCCTTAAGCACAGCGGCGACATTAGGTATTTGAAGAATCCGTGCTGGCGGTAGACCTCTAGAGAATGGGAGATTTCGAAGACATCGGAAAAACCCCATTGGGTCACTGAAAAAGGCTGTGCTGATTGTTTGCCATTCTAGCGGTCTGCGGTTTCGCACTTCTTTGGAGAGTACCTGTTGTAGACAGCATTAAGCTTAGTAAACAAACCCGCGAAACATCGACTTCAGGATAAAGCTAACTGGTAGGGACCTCAGAGCTAGGACCAGAGATTTGATGAGCCCTACATGTCCACTGCTGCTTTTGAACAAGCCTTGCTTTAAATCTGGGGTCAGAAGAGGCCCGCAGTTTGGTATCACCTGTGGCGCACATCTTTCAATAACTTGAATGGCTTCATTCCCCTCCATTAATAAACCCACAGGTTTCCAGGGTGATTGGATATTGATATCGGGCCTAAGTGATATTTCTTGTCCCTCACCGAATATCATTGGCGTCGCCATATGTTTTCGCTCGAAACCCGAAAAGCCCCTATCTGGAGAGCCGTAAGACATGAACAGTACAATGTAAGGTTGAGATGATGGGTTAACAGCTTTGAACAAATCCGCCCATAGCGCGACGTCCCAATATGATTGTTGGGCCTCATCGATAAGGAGATACCCTCGTTGTGTCAGCCAGGAGCGGCCATGGACACCAGTTCGCTGCTCGAGATAACCGGCCCAGCCCTTTGCTCTCGTTACCATATCTACATCCCAACCAGACATGACGTAAAGAGGAGTCTTTGGATCACAGTCAAGTAGCTTGTTGGCTAGTAGATTCACGATGGTTGTCTTACCCGAAGCAGGAGTCCCCCTCACTCGAACAATATGAAATGCCTTCATTCGAGCGATGAGCTCCTTGACCAACCCATCCCGGTGAACGATATGTGATCCGACATCTATGATGATTAGCAATGATCTTGCCAAGTCGGGTTGAAGCAAAGTATATACCTATAGGTGCAGTTATCTGTGACGGTGGGGATTCCGAGGAAGTGGCTATGATGCAAGATTAGCTGAAGAACATCAAAAGTGTAAAAAACGAACAGTAATCTTGGTGGAGGCTCATCGGATGCGAGCATTTTTCATACAGTGTTAGATTGTTCATGTGCGCAAGACGCGAAGCGCAGGACCCCTCGGGGCAAGCACACTGTAGAAATAGCTTTTCGTCTTGCCATTTACAAGGCCCCATGATGAAAAGTGATATGTGATTATTGATAGTGGTAGGTGTGTGATTGCGGTGATTTTGATGCTCTGCAAGTATATTGTAGAAAAGGAATGATCGGGGATTGAGGGTCCATATTTAAAGAAGGTGGCCTTGAATGAAAGCCCTCTTGCCTAGCTGTACATTGATTTGATCAATGGGATGCTGGAATAGCGTCTCTGGGTGTCGATTAACCACCATTGTAGTAACAGTAGTAGTAGGAGTGAATTAAAGTAATTACATATCAGCGGAACATAGGCGGTCATTATAGTCATGCGATACAGATACCGTCATGCGAACAGGCTTCATAATTGACATTCTCCTTCACTACCAGCACCGCTCTTTCCTACCATTGAGTATGGAATAAGGACACTGTCGCCGTGCTTTGCTGCTTCCTCTTTTGGCTCTGTCATGACCCTTGACTTTCAAGAATAAGAAGAATAGCAAGCAAGTATCTGCCGCCCATCACTGCAATGGTTTGAAGCACAGGCCATGAACTCTGGCCTTACGGCTTTCGATAGTGCCGCAGAGGGAGAGTAGAAGGTCATCACAGCATCATGCTTCCGAGAGTTCTCTTCTATGTCCTAAAGGATAGTAGTAATCTGTCGTGCGATAGGCAGTGTTTTGGAGACTCGACGGAGTTAAGACTCACCGCCTTGGCCGTAAATCCGACGCAGAAGCTGCCAAATCCTCTCCGAATTCCATCTCCGCGTCGCCGAGCGCGCTTCCCCCAGCTTGAATTATTACTGAAAGCTTTCAAGTTATTGCACTATCCAGCTACTGGGGGAAAGACTCATCATCCATTAGAATCCTTTTGATCCCAGATCTCGGATTCTGACGCAACATCGCTGCTTACAGAGACACTCACTTGGGATCGCATCCCACTCCATTTCGCATCTTTCTCCGACCTCCGCCGCAATTGCGACTTCAACGACCGATCGATAATCAGCAACGAAGACTTCCCCGTCGGTCGCCTTTCCATTTTCTGCTTGTGGAAGCTACCGACTCACATTCCAAAACTAATACTATGAAATTGTATACGACCGGAACCATACGCTTCGTCTAGGTTGCCAGTCTGCAGAATCGCCAATTTGCGGGATCTTGAAGGCCAACATATCCCTAGGATTTTGTGCCCGAGCACGCACACGCTGGCTACCCACAGAAGGGGTGCGCTTGGACCTTAGAAGGTCGCTGGAAGAGTTGGAGTGATGGCCGGAGCTACGCAAGCGCCTGGTGATCAAAATCAGGTGGATGATCGCGTTACCAATCAAGGGTCGACAAACCCATACGAAACAAACCCCGAGCTCCTCCCCAACGACGACCTATTCCTCGCCCGGAGTGTGCATTATGGCCGCTACGCGCCTCGCGAATCTGACTTCAAACCTCGATACAACCAGTGGTGCGAACCGGATCCAGAGGCCACTTCATATTGGGAAGGCATTGTGAAAGAGCTCTGTACGGCAGAGAATTCTCTGCATGTCTCGGGGAACCGGGAGGTCTTCGCTGCTGGCAGCGTTGTCATTCGCGTTGATCGTGAACCTTCAACTGGCGCCGTGGCTGAAAAGTACTCGTGTGCCAACGCCAATGAACTGAGTGCCGCAAGGAAGGCTGAGGATACGCTCAAGGAGATGTCCATCGCTGTGCCGGTCATATACTTTTGCGGGACAATAGATGGGAAAAATGTCACTGTGGAATCTAGAATCCCTGGCGTTACTCTCGAGGTAGCCTGGAGATACCTCACAGCTGAGCAGATTGACATGTTCAAGCAGCAGTGCCGTCGTATATCGCAGCGCCTTGGCGGGATAGATGCACCCCCCGACCGCCCTTCGTACGTTTGCAGTGGACTCAACTCACAAGCGTCACCTGATGCCCTGGAACCAGAAAAGAATATACTGTTTCGTGAAAGGAAGGAGGACGAACATATCTGTTTGGTTCACAACAACTTGGTACCGTCGAACGTTGTTATCGGCGATGATAAGGTGATCGGGATAACTGGTTGGCGACAGAGCGGGTACTTTGGCTTTGAAAGGGCAGATGAGATACATCGACGCTTTAGGATACTGGTGGCATCTGCCATACATGGAGACAAATCTACTGATCTGCGAGCGTGGTCTGACCTCTATGAAGGACTTGATGCCGCAGGAGTAGTTAGATCCACGAGCAAGCAAGATACACCAATACCTCTTGTCAAGACCGAACCCCTCAACACGAATTTGGATAAAGTCCCCCTTAACGAAGAGTCGGAATCCAAGCCACCGGTTTCTTCACTTGATGGCCTGCCTGCGGACCATCTCACTCCAAAGAACATCGCGAGTCTCAAGAATAGGGGATCCTCAAGAGCGTCGTCTTCTGACCGCTCCTCGCCAGCCACATCTACGAAACCTGGCCCGGCCCGGAAGTCTGCTACTGCTGCAACCAAGAAAGGGACTGGGCGAAAGTCAACGACCAAAAAGAGGAAAGCAAACGAATTGGACAGCGATATTGTTGATGGCGGTCGTTCCAACACTCCGTCTTCGACTCGTGCTGGCAAGCCCGCAACCAAAAAGCGGAATTCCACCTCGCACACCAACTCACCTGCCCCAGACAGTAAAAGGAAAGGCAGCAAGAATGTTGAGCATGATGATATAGAAGAAGAGGAAGAAGATGACTCTGATGATAACGATGAAATATTTTGCATCTGCCGCAAACCTGACAATCATACGTGGATGATTGGATGCGATGGTGGATGTGAGGATTGGTTTCACGGGAAATGCGTCAACATCGACCCGAGAGATGCAGACCTCATTGACAAGTACATCTGTAAGACATTCCTCCGGCATTACACACACAATGTATGCCCGTGCACTAACACTCCGCAGGCCCGAATTGCAAGGAACAAGGCAAAGGATGGACTACATGGAAACCTATGTGCCGGCTAAAGGAATGCCGCAAGCCCGCCCGAGTTAACCAGAAAATCCCCAGCAAATACTGTTCAGACGAACATGGCCGGGAGTTCATGCTTCAGCGAACTAAGCTTCTCCTGGGTACGGGACTGAAAGCAAAGACAAATGCAGTAGGCCGAGCAGCCACCAATGGCATTAATTCGAGCGGAAGCAATAGTCGTGATGGGACCGCTACGCCAGACAGACGAGATCCGGACGATCTTGGAAGCAGAGGTGGAGTCCTTACAACAGGCGATCTCAAAGCCGTCGTAATGGGCGTCAGCTCCGCCAAAGAATTCCGCAAACTAGGCGAAAGCATCATATCGCTCCCCGCCGAAGAGGAAAGCAAAAATGCCGCCACTACCACCACCGATCCCGAAGCCGAGACCAAGGAGGGAAAGAAGATCGGTCTGGACTTCGACGTAGACTGGCTCACATACAGTCCCGACGAAGCATCCAAACTACAAAAGATCCGCAAGCAACGGGACGACCTTCTCCATCGCAAGGAGATGCTCCGCGCACGAAACACATTCATGACACTGGTGCGACAGCGATCCAAGAGCATTCTGGAGCATCTAAAACAAACCGACCCAAAGGGTGGTTGGAAAGACATCTGCGGTTTCGACAGCAGACTCGCATGGTCGGACGAAGAATTCGACGAATGGCGGTTATCCGAAATTGGCGCGAAAGCACTCGAGGATGGCTCGCCTGAAGCCCTGGCATCAAGCTATCCCGAAGCTGCTACGGACGCCGATGGCGACACCGCCATGGATGACGACAACGAAGACGACTTCGAAAAGCTCTCACGTGGTGTCTGTACTAAGAAGCGTTGTGAGAGGCATAAACAATGGCTCAAAGTCCAACAGCAAGATGCTGTATTCGAGGAGAACACCCTCGCTTTGGATCTTAGCAAATGCGAAAAGGAAGCGAAAAATGTCGTGGAGAGGGCTGTTCTTAGGATGTGGGCCGAATCAGACAATGCGCAAATTGGTGGCCAGTGATGTAATATTACCATGGCAGGTGTTAAACCAGCGTGCTTGTCTTTCTTCCCAGCATTCCTCTCTCATACATTACATACAGACGCTTCCTATTTCTCATTATTTGTCGCATTTGACAATTGACTTGATTTGGTTGATACCCCCATTCATCATCATCACTATCATTTATTTATCTGGAGAAAAATGCATGATTCACAACTGGAGTTAGTCAGCGCGGAAAGGCAATTTTGGTCTACTAAGGGGTGAAAGGTGAAACTGGTGCATAGTACTTGCATGATAGACGGGGTCAAGGGTTCATGTTTGTTTGAAATTTCAAGTGGAATGAAATATTCAGATGGAGTAAGCAGAAAATTACTATCTACATAGGTCGCAATGTCATATGTCAGGGCATGCACACCCTGCAGCGCATAGCAACTATCAAACCTCACACAACGAATTATATCCCCAGCCATTCATGTTCAATCAAACCTCACCCTCCCAAACACACCACCTCCCAACATTCCCACCCACCCTATCCTTAATAACCTCCACAACCGGAACCCTCCCAATACTCGACACCAACAGATGCGAATCAATCCCCTGATCCAGCGTCCTCATCAACAGACTCGGAAACATCTCACCACTATGCGCACGGAACGCAGACTGGATCCCCTCCTCGCCATCATCCATTTCATACATTCCCCCCGTAGCGTTAGCATCTACCTCTCCCACACCCCCACTCTGAGCCGACACCATCTTCCCCAACCCACTAGTATTCACCAATATCACCGAGACATTCGACCCATGCGTTCGCGTCAACTGCGTCAGTGTACGTAATACAGACGTGAGCATAGCTGATCCGCGCAGGGGGTTCGAAGCACGTATTACGCCCTCGGTTAGGGTGTCCAGGCCTGTGATTATTATGATATGTTGTTGATGTGGTGTTGTTTCTGTTAATGCTGAAGATATGGTGGTTGCGATTTCGTGGATTGCTTGTGCGGCTGCGTTGAAGTCGTAGACGGGGAAGAGTTGGACGGAGTCCAGGAGGGTTATTGCTTGGGTTCGGGATAGAGGCGGTTGTTGTGGTTTGTTGAGGAGGGAGGTGAGCAGGCGTTGGGGGGTGAAGGCGCTGAAGTTGGCCGGGTGGATTATGTAGGTTTTTGGTTGGTGGGTGTCGTGTTGGTGTTGTTGTAGTAGGTGGGTTGTGAGGAGGTGGCGTGGGAGCTGGGGGTTTGTTAGTTGTTTATGTATGTTCTTGTATGGGGAGTGGGATTTGTGGTAAGGAGGTGTAGTATAAATGATCATTGGGGGTGGTGGATATGGCTTAACAGATATATGCATGAGGGCATATAGCAGGTTGTCTATGGAGAAGGCAGACGTACTCTTCCGATGTACTCGTCCTCATCACTCGTCTCCTTGTGTGCGTCTCTGAGCCTGGAGAAGCCAATGACTATGCCACTTCTGAAAACGCTGTCTGGACTATTCTGAAGTCCCTTTTGCACGTCATGTGAAATGTTCCAGCTTTGTTCCGCGGAGTGTTGTTGATCTTGTTTGTGTTTATTCTCTGCTGATGGACCAGACTGCAGCATAGTATGAGCTAAAATTGGTGGCGCTGGCTCAGCATCGCCAATATAAGCGTTGATGGACATGATGTTCTTCACCGGACCAAACAGTGGGCAAAACGCGTAGCTCTGCAACGCGTCCGTTTATAGGGCTGCCTCTGAATAATAAAGCTGAGGATGTGTAGTAGAATAGAAGAGCGAGCTATATTTCACTCTATTTGCTGTTATTATTATAGATACGGACCGAGTATGTTAAGTGGTTTAAATGTAGTCGTAAGGTGAGATGTATACAGGGTGTGGAGTAGATCTGGGTTTCGCGAACGAATGTTGTGCCGGATATTGTAAAGCCCAGCTCGTCGCTCTTAAATAGAATGCACCATGTAAACCTCCCAAAACTCGTCTCATATCTGATAGGGGCCTGCAGTATATTGGCCACTCAATTGGAAAAGATTATACCTAGTAATCGAAATAATCGAATAGCCATCAAGTATGCCCGCAAGCCCACTCAATCATTAGTAGTTGATGTGCTATCACGTGACAATGACGTATATTATGTCTCTCAGTATACACAATGAAGTTTGCAGTGTAAGTTACTACTCACTCTATATTGTTCTATATGCTAGCATGCAAGCTGTAAAGCGACTCAGACAAACGGAAGTCGTGAATATAAGTATAGAATGAAATTATGTACAGGCGCGTCACAAATATACTTATATTTCCTTGAAGCGCAATTCATCCAGAATAATTTCAAGCGTGCGCTCATTACTGTAGCATATCAGAGAGCGTTACCTACCGGCGTCGTAGGAGAACCCAACCGATCATCTTCGCCGTTCGAAGGCACTTTTGTCCAAGTCCCTCTTCCATCATGTACCCATCCACTGCTGTCCAACACATCCCCTAGGATAGTGGATAGTTCTGAACGCAGAGCATCAAACTCGTAATCTGGCGTACGGAATTCCACGAGACTATCTAAAGCCCCCATCTTCCTGACAGTGTGCGCAATAAGTGAATATCCGGTAGCAATCTCCATCCATGGGTCACTGGGGTCCATGGAGCCTCTCTGTTCCATCTCCGTAATCTTATCATTCGGAGACGGGGCAAGTTGGATGCTCAATGAACGCAGGTTGGTCATCAATTCAATAGCATCCAAGACTAATTTGACATGATTATAGAACGGAAACACTGCCGTATATTTGAACGACGTGAAGGATTTCAATGAGCGGGAAAGGTCCAGCCTCTCGGAGAACAGTTGTGTGGATGCCACTGTTCCCCACTTATTGAATAGGGAAGGAACCTGGAACATGAAATACTCATAGTGATTGTACGCCCTGAGCGAGGACGACTCATTGAAGGCAAAGGAAGACCATACCCGAGTCTCAAGCAAACTGACTGATTGCTTTGTCTCTGATGGTAGAGGAGGCTTGCAGACCCGCGAGTTCTGTTCCAATTGTAGAACCTGGAAAGGAACCTCGAATGCCCAGCTATGTCCGTCCATGATCCGTGTGTCAAGCATGGCGGCCAGAAATGGGGGAGGTGCAATCACAATGATCCGTAACGGATCGAGACTATCGAGTACTGGACGCCACCAATAGGGATCCTCTCGATGATCGGGAGAGTCCATCCCCTTGGCCACAATCGATATTACATATCGACCAAGATCTAAACTCGTTATAAATGAGACAAAGTCCGCTACATCTTTGATATCGAAGCATGCGTGAGCGAAGAGGTGGGGGCGCACCAGCTCCAGGAGTCGGGAGGAGGTGCGTGCAAGATTCTTCAAATCCCTAGTTCTAGATGTAGTAATACGCATACAAGGAGGCTTGTGCACCCTGGACTGAGAAGGAGGGGAAGCCGAGAGTTCGGAGATGATCTGATCCAGAAGCTCATTCGGAAGGCTTTCCAAGGGCGAATGTGGTAAAGACATTGTTCGAGTAATCTGAGATAAAGTTTTCGTCCGAATGCCTCACATTGCGGAGACTATGAGCTTCAAATCAAGTATAGAAAACCAATGAATTGGACATAAATGCCAGCCCACAGCGATGTACTTTCCAGAAAGGAGTTATGGCGTGGTGAGTTTCGGGAAGAATGCTGGCTGTCAATTGCCGGGGGACCCCACATTCATTTCACGTGATAGTCAAATGGCGAAGATGGCTCCATAAGCAGGAAAACCGTGACAGAAGGCTTTGACAGACTAAATTGGCGTTTGCACAGATAGCAAGACTACTGTGATTTGTGGTCGCACTTTACACACATCAAAATTTACATATATCACCGAACTCAAGCCAGACTCGACATGACATACTCTGTATAGCTTTGGAAATCACGTTAACTTTATAGGAACGCCTTCGCTGTATGAATGTGGAGCTCCATTAGTCTCTCCCCGCAACTCCTGCACTGGCTTGTTCTGATACTCGACAACATCGCAGCCACCCGGCAACAGTGTACTATTCCCTGTGCAATAATATAAAGTCATGGGGAGATAAATAATTGATTCAGACCATTGTAGAATTATTATTCTTGCTTTAGGCATCTGCAGCCAGCCCAGAACAGAAAGAACCCCAGATAAAATAGATTGCTGAGTCAGTACTTATACATTGGCCCCACCGGAGGCTTCCTTGCCGATCTTCTTTCCGCCTTCCTGAGTTTACGATAGTACTTCTGGTTCAATCCTTCGTCGCAAGCTGTCCCAGATGCCAGAAGTCATTGATCTCATTGGAGTTACTCAGTGTATTTGGGACTTCGAGTGAGTGTGGTATTATCAAGTAGTACTTACTTGACGTGTGCGCAATATCGCAAGAATTTGCTTGAATTATTTTTCTGTCTCTTGTCTGGGCCTGCGAAATCGGTCCCAGAATTTGGGGTCACTGTCCAGAGCGGTGGGGCAAGAACAGACCGGAGAAGAACATGGGCAAGACTCGGAGAACTCGCTTGCTGAGAAATGAGGGGGTCTCTTGCCCCCCATTTCTTCCTTCTTCTTGACTCGAGTCGGCTGTTGTCTTCTTCTCTCCATTCTGTCAACAGACCAGGTATGTTTGTTCCGTGAACCCATGATAAGTTGGTTGCCATTGGATTCTCTAACTGATTTCTGGACAGAACACTCAAGCTCTTTCAATCATCATGGCCCCTCAACTCCACCGTAACCCTCCTTTCCGTGCCGAGCACCTCGGCTCTCTCCTCCGGACGGAGGAGCTCCTCAAGACCAAGACCGCTTTCGAGAATGGCGAGGTTTCTGAAGCTCAGCTCGATGCTATCGAGAACAAGGATGTGAAGGAGGTCGCGGAGACCCAGAAGAAGTTGGGTTATGCCGCCATCTCCGACGGAGAGTACCGCCGTCACAGTAAGCTAGGCCCTCATACATCGCGCATAATCAGAGGGACTCATTACTGACATGTTGACCGCGACAGTGTTCTGGGGTTCCTTCTTCCCTGGACTTGAGGGATTCGAGGAGGTCAGTGATGTCGATGCTGATGTCTTCCGCCCCTACGCCCCCGATGTTGCCGCGTTCCTCGAGGCTGGTCACAAGCCTGGTGAGACCGTTATCTGCACCGGCAAGATCAAGCACGTCGGCAGCACTTACACCAAGGAGTTCAAGTATCTGGCCAGCGTTGTTCCTCCCGAGGAGGTCAAGAACCTTAAGATCACCCTTGCTGCTCCTAACTGGTACCACTTGCGGTACAAGGAGGGCAAGGCCTACCCCAAGGACGTGTACAGCTCCGATGAGGATTACTTCGGTGACATCGCCAAGGCGGTTCAGGCTGAGCTGCAGGAGCTGTATGATGTTGGCTGCAGGAACGTCCAGTTCGACGACCCCAACCTTGCTTGTGAGTCCATCCTGTCTGTATATCTATCCATGAGGATAACACGCTGACTCAAACTGCAGACTTCTGCTCTGAGAAGATGCTTGCTGGCTGGAAGGAGGACCCTCTGAACGTTCGCTCCGCCGATGAGACCTTCGAGCAGTACATCAAGCTGTACAACGACAGCATTTCTAAGCGCCCTGCCGATATGCACATCGGTGTGCACCTTTGCCGTGGTAACTTCGTTGGCAGCCGTCACTTCTCCGAGGGTGGCTACGACCGCATTGCCACCAAGCTCTTCAAGGAGCTCAACGTTGACACCTACTACCTCGAGTATGACACCCCTCGTGCTGGTGGCTTCGAGCCCCTGAAGGAGCTCCCTACCCACAAGAACGTCATCTTGGGTGTCGTTACCAGCAAGTTCGCTGCCCTCGAGGACAAGGAGGAGATGAAGAAGCGTGTCTATGACGCTGCCAAGTTCATCGCTGAGGGCAACAACATCTCTCTCGAGGAAGCCCTCAACCAGGTCGGTGTCAGCCCCCAGTGTGGCTTTGCCAGTCACCGTGAGGGTAACGCCATTGACCGTGATGGCATGATCGCCAAGCTGAAGCTTGTGCGCGAGATCGCCAACGATATCTGGCCCGGCCAGCTGTAAATATACCCGTCGTGAATGGCCGCGACATAAACTCCTGTCGATTCAACAACGAAAGGGAGTATGAATGAATGTGACGACTTTAGCGTTTAGGATACCAGTTATTTAACATATGGGTCGGATGTATAGTTTTAGAAAAATTCACGGTTGTTTCTTTCACTTTCTCAAATACCATACACCTGGACACATGTGTCATTATGTAGTTCGCCGAACTGAGTACCTTGGAGTCACTGCAAGCACAACGTCCCACCCAAGAAGCTAATGAAGGCAGATCACTTTGTTGTCAACCATTAACTATCTCTCATCTTGCCGTTTACCTTGAAACATTATTAAATATAGATTACCACCCCTAACCAAGGACTGCCCTCCGCACATCAATAGATAACATCATGGTGCCTTTCACTCCGCCGGTCCAAGAATACTACTCTCCTTGATCGCCGCTCGTTTATGTGTATGAGAGTTCTCGATCTACCACCCCAGACCCCATGATCAGCGTTACTGCTTACCCTACCACATCCATCCGTATCAATATACACGCACCTCATACCGCGGCATCTCATCCGACGCTTCGATCTTCCGCCCCGTCATGGTACCAGAGTGCGTGCGGACGTCCCGGATGATGCCGATTGCTTCGGCAGTTTTGGAATCAGGTCCTGCGTATTGAGTATCCCCTTGTTAGTCTTCTCTTTATCTATCCTTTCCTGCTGAAGGGAGCGGCCGGTCACGAAGGGAAGAATGTAGTAACTCACCGCCAATAGGCTTATAGCGAACCGTATCACCTGTTGCGTAGTCGGGCATGTTCAGGTAAGTATTCTTAAATATGGAAAGCTTTGTCGTAGACTTGTAGTGTGTGTGTGTATCGCGAAAATAACTCATAAGTAAAACTACTACGTGGTGTTGTGTCGTATATTTAACTAACAACCCATCAAGTTAACTTTTCCTTCCCAGAGCCACTGGTGTCAGATTGATGCTATCTGACAAACTTGGGAGCCAGCCACATTTATTACCCATGGATGGGGCGGGTAGTCGAGAGTTGTGCATGTGCTCGGAGCTTATTTATCAATACATCAACCTCCCTACTTCTATCTAATTGATTTATGCAAGATTGGGTTTTGCTTATATATAATACATCCGATGGCCAGGAGGAGTGTGACTGGTGGGACGAGCTTTCCGTTCCATGTGTCTGGAGGAGGATTTTCCGAGGCCTTTTACGGGGTGGGCTGGGCTGGGAGGGAGGTCATGAGTCAATGACGTTGGTGGAACATAGTATGATCTTTGTTTGTTTGTTTTGGTTTGGGTTCCTTTTTTTTTGTTTCATCGTTTATTCATAAAGTGTGGATTTTTTGGGGTTTGGTAGTATCTAAAGAATATTATCAACAACCGAGCCGGGGAAAATACAACTGGGATATAAATAAATAGATAAATGCGAGGAGGGAAAAAAAAAGGAAACATTAAAGGGAGTATATGTATGCAGGTATGTGCTGGTCCAAGTTCCTTCTATTTTGAATGTTTCTACACACGAGAAGGGGGGCGGCGAAGAAAAGCAGACAACAGAGAAAGGAAAATAGGAAAATAGTATTAAGAGACGGTATTCGAAATGACCCGCATCGAAACAGTGGGGATATCATGAAAATAAAGGAGAAAGGAAAAGCGGAACGGCGTGCGCGTGAAAGGAAATATTGCAAACACAGGATCCAAATGCTGCGTCTTCTGTCATCAAATCGAACGTGAAACGAGAGGTGTTCTGATGGTTCAGTTGGTACAAAGGAAACTGTTGTACACGAGAGGCCGTGCAGATGGCCTCCAAATTTTGCGGCTCAGGTGTTGGCCGGCGGCTGTTTTATTTCTGAGGTTGCGTCTTGACGTTGTTGGAGAGCCATGCCTGCGAAAGTTGAGCGTTAGATGGCTGAGCATTGCCGATGAGGGGGCGTGTAACTTACCAGGCCCTCAAAGATACCAGTTCCCTCCGTTGCGACACTTGGAGCAACGTACCACAGCTTATCCTTCAACTTGGTGAGCTGTAGCGCTTGAGTAACTTCCTCGGGGCTCATGTCTGCAAGAAGAATCCTGGTCAGTCGCGACGTCGTTTTCCACAATAACAATGCGGAAACTTACGGCCTTGAACATCCTGCTTGTTGGCAAAGACCAGCAGAAGAGCATCCTTCATTTCGCGATCGTTGATAATCTTGTGAAGTTCGGAGCGAGCTTCCTCCAAACGAGCAGTGTCGCTGGAGTCCACGACGAAAATCAATCCTTGTGTACCTGAAGAGTTCACCCAATGTCAGCCAACTGCCCCACGATCCGCTGAAAGCACGCGAAAAGTGAAAACCTACCAGAATAGTAGTGTCTCCAGAGGGGTCTGATCTTGTCCTGTCCACCAACATCCCAAACATTGAACTTGACATTCTTGTAGGTGACGCTTTCAACGTTAAAACCGACGGTAGGGATAGTGGTGACGTCCTGATTGGTGAGCTTCAATTTGTAGAGGATTGCTAACGCACTGTGTTAGTTTCCACATAGCCATGGTCAATGAGTCGACGCAGAGTCGAGGAGCAAACTTACTGGTCTTTCCAGCAGCATCCAAACCCAGCATCAAAATCCGCATCTCCTTCGTACCGAAAATCTTCCCCATAATCTTGGACACTTGACCACCCATTGTGACTAAAGGAGGCGTCTCCTGAAGACCGCCGACTGTTGATAGGATAAAGGAGCGACTGAGCCTGCGGAGATTCAACGAGCGCCAGAGAGCGTCTCCGATGCAATGCAATTGCAGTGAGGAATCGGGGATTCTAGATGGTGGACCGATTGGTCGAGTAGGGGGCCGTGGGAGAAAGAGGACAACGAAAACTAAACGTAAGGTCAATTACCCCGTGCTAGCGGTCCGCGTCAACAGGGCGACGTCTCCATAATGGACCATGCGTTCGCAGACGCAAGGTAAACAAGACATATGGAACTTACCTTATGTAAAGAAGGGGCAATAACGACGCACGTTGAAGCAGAGAGAAGAGAGTGTCGGTCCAACAGGGTCGAAAGTCAAATTGCACAACGATTGATCGAACAGCAGCAATAAGAATTTCAGGGTTCACGATCCACACGAGGAGCGCCTCTCTCTCTCTCTCTCGCTCTCTCGCTCGTCTGCTCGAGCGCTCCGTAAAAGGGGCTGCCCATGACTAAGCGCCCCGCGCCAAGCAATCGGTGGTTTCAGTATTTGCAGCGTATCCTCAGGCACACACAAGCACCTGCCTGTAGCAGAACTACTAATGAAGTACTCCACTCGGACCCAGTTATTCCCGATCAAGAGGACCTTTGCGATATATTGTAGATGCGCCTAGCAATCAAATTATCATTGTCAATAGAAGCAAGTAGTCCGACTCCTTGGCGACGGACTTTTTTTTATTCTTAGCGTGGCCTGTGCCATGAACCTAGCCTTGATCTCACAAGTCACTACCAAGCATAAGTACGTTCTGCAGACTTAGCGCACTCGCTATCTTGTGTAGTACCTATCGGAAGTCCCCGCTCCCGACGATCAACACCATCCATATCGAGTGGTGATGGTTATGCCTCATGGTACCTTGATATGATTTGGGAGAAAGGAACCTACAAGCTACCAAACATCTCCTGATCCACCTGCGGTTCTTCATGGCCAATTATTCTTCAATGATCCTGGTCAAAAAGGCGGATTCTCACTGCCGCCGGAGTAAATCGTATGCTGTTTGCAATACGTCATGGCGAAGTGGTAGCACACGCCATGGACTGGTGAAGTCATCCCACCACCACCCATGGTCTTACAAACCCCGGACCGGCGACCGAACCTGAAGTCCCTTCATTGAGATTTATAGGAAACAGTTCCTTTTTCTCAAATCCTGAGTAGCAGTCTAATTACCTTATTGAATCCCCTAGACACTGTACTCTATCTATAGTTCTCAATCATCATTGCCAACATGACCACTGACGGTATCCAGCCGTTCCAGCGCCGTTCATCCTTTCATCAGCTGCAGCTCTCGCATCAGTTTGACAGGAACTCCTGGGAAGCCCCTCCGTCAAAGGTAAAGTTCTCTTTTGCCTGAATACCCCATGACATCTCTAACCGATGGCATCTCATTAGACTATCTATGCTGGTCTCTCAGTACTGTTTGATGACGATGGAGTCACTGTAGCCCTTGCGATTCGCGATACTACCTATCTGCTCGATTTCCATCAGAAGGACATTGTTCCACAGGGTGGCCGGACCGTCTGTGCTGAAATCACCGACTATGTGCTGAACCAGTTGCGGGAGTATAGTGACGAACGCCTGGAGAAGTTTATCGGGCTGGCAATGCCAACTTCAGTGGCTCGGAAATGCTCCACCCTATGCTCACGTCTCTGGTCGGAGCTGGATGTGATTCCCTTGGTTCTGCCCGAGGAGAGTAATATCGGAGTTGATCACTACGTTGATCATCCTGTCCGGAAGTCTACTGGCTGGGAGCTTAAGAGCATCGATGAACAGGCCGAGTCCATGGGACGCAAGTGTGTCAGGTTTGTCTTGCCCAGCTTAAAGCAGTGTGCATGTACTTACAGCACTCAAGGTTGTTTGGCCCTGAAAACATTCCGTTGTTGCAAGTCGGTTTCTTGGGATTAGTTGAAGTTGACACTGCCTTCCATGTGCGCCTTACAAACCTGGAGGACTTCCAGAAGACAGTCACACAGAGGACCTGGGATGCAGTTAATTACTATGCCGACGATCTCAAGAACAGAGGCACAAAGATTGCCTTCTTTAGTGCCACTCCTCAGGGCGGAGGAGTAGCCCTCATGAGACACGCCCTCGCCAGATTCTCCTACTCGTTGGGAACTGACATCAAGTGGTAAGTCTTTCATCCATATAGCGTTTGATATCGAGTATCTAATAGATCCTCAAATTAGGTATGTCCCCAAGCCGCGGCCTGGAGTTTTTCGCATAACCAAGAACAACCATAACATTCTGCAAGGCGTTGCTGCTCCAGATGAGCGCCTGAGCAATGAGGACTGGGAAAAGGTTATTGATTGGATCAATGAGAATGCTAAGCGATACTGGCTTTCTCCTGGCGGTCCTCTGCGGCCTCCTGAGGAGGGAGGCGCCGACGTTATCATCATCGACGATCCGCAAATGCCCGCATTGATCCCCATTGCGAAGAAGCTAGCACCTAACCGACCGGTCATATTCCGAAGCCATATTCAAATCCGCAGTGATCTGATCGATCAACCTGGCTCCCCACAAGCAGACACCTGGTCGTGGATCTGGAAACAGGTGCAGCAGGCAGATTTGTTTATCAGTCACCCAGTGAGCATCTTCGTGCCGAAAGATGTTCCAGACGAGATGGTGGGCTATATGCCTGCTTCAACTGATTGGTTAGTTCCAAGAGATGTATGTCTGCATGATATATCTAGCTGACATTCCGAGTTAGGTTGGATGGTCTAAACAAGAACATGCGTGAAGAGGATGTTGCCTATTACGGCCGTGTCTTCAACTCTGTTTGCAGAAATTCGGGAATGATGACTCTTAACTATCCACATGGTGAGGTCAATTCTAATGTCACACATGCATATGCTTCTGTAATTGCGAGGGCGCTAACCATTTAGCAGACGAGTACATTGTCCAAATTGCGCGGTTCGACCCTTCCAAGGGTATCTTCGACGTTGTAGATTCGTATGCGAAGTTTCATAGACGGTTCACCTCATCTCTACCCGACAGAACGCCGCCCAAACTGCTTATTTGTGGGCACGGCTCCGTTGACGACCCCGATGGCACTGTTATCTACGATTCCGTGCTAGCTCACATTGAGAAAGACCTCCCAGACCTATCTGACAAGATCTGCGTTGTCCGACTTGGACCTTCGGATCAGGTGCTTAACGCACTCCTTTCCAAGGCCAAGGTCGCTCTGCAGCTGTCCACACGTGAAGGGTTCGAAGTCAAGGTATCCGAGGCAATCCACAAGGGTACCCCCGTGATCGCAACCAAGGCTGGCGGAATCCCACTGCAAGTGGCAGATAAGAAGAACGGTTTCCTTGTGGAAGTCGGCGACACAGATGCAGTTGCACAACACCTGTTCGAATTGTGCACTGACGACGATCTATACGAGCGGACCAAGAAATTTGCGCTTGAGAATGTTTGCGACGAGGTCAGCACAGTCGGAAACGCCCTGAACTGGCTGTACCTGTCATCTAAGCTCTCCAAGAAAGAGGAAGTCAAACCGCACAAGCAGTGGATCAACGACATGGCGCGCACCGAAGCAGGCCTAGAATACACCAGCAAAGAGAGTCGGCTTAGACGGATCTCACTGTAAGTCTGGCCAACGACCAACGAGCCAGACAGTATGAACTATGTATCTAGATTGTTGTTTTTTGATATATCTCGCGCGCACAGAGTTCCCAAATAAAAGAAATAAACTAGACCAAGGGGGTATAGTACTAAACAGCCACACACACACACATAAACAGTAAAACACGAACACAAACCAATCATAACCATCATCATCATCAACAACAAGAAGTAATATCCTCACCTCCCAACCAACCTATACCTCTCCCTCGCCAACCCCCCCTCGGCCCCCTCAACCCCATACCCCTCCCCAACCTCACCCACGATCCTCGCCGGCGCACCCCCAACAACACACCAACTCGGCACCACCATGCCCCCCGGCACCACCGCCCCATCCAACACATACACGAAATCCTTCAAGATAGCCATGCTCCCCACCACCGCATCCTTCCCAATATGCACATGATTCCCCACCGTCGCGGCCTCCACTACCGCCCGCTCGCCCACAAACACATGATCCCCGATCTTGAGCGGGTAGAACGAATACACACCCCGGTGTAGTCGCGACGGCGGTCGCAGGATCGCTTGTCGCGAGATGTAACTGTATCGGCCGATTGTAATGGCCACGGAGGGGCTGTTTGGTGCACTGCCGCCGCCGCCGCCGCCGCCGGCGGGGTCGGAGGATGTGGATGTGGATGTGGATGAGGATGAGGAGCGGTAGAGGTCGCCTCGGATGACGGCGTCCGCTTGGATTACTGTCTTGCCGCCGAGAATGATGTGTTGGGTTCCGTGGATTAAGGACCGGCGGGAGATTTTGTTCCCTGTGTCCTGTGGTGGTGGGAGGGTGGGTTAGTATGGGGGGTGTTTGTTTGTTTGTTGTTGTTGGGGCAAGGGGAAGGGGAAGGGAATGGGGATGGGCGTACTGTTTCGATGTATTCGCCCTTGGGCGCTTTAGGAGGCATTTTTTGGTATTAGATTGTTTTTTCTGGTGGTAGATGGAGAGGAATTGAGTTGATGGTGAAGGGAGTTGAAGCTGTTATCGCATTGCTTGGGAGGTGATCTTGGATGCGGTGAGTGGAATTACTGTCGGCAGTTCAGTTAGTGGTGGGCGGTGAGTCGGACCCACTGCATTTGATTGCTCCGTACAGTACAATAATATGTTTCTCGAGGAGGTCTATGCAGTATACACATGCGATATTGGAATGCATTGTTTTGGCTTTGTAGATCTTAATCTTATCATGGTAGAGCAAATGAAGCAGTATTATTAAAGTAGATCTAGTTAGAGGGTCTTGATCCACTGTTTTCCTGATATGGAGGCTAATCTGTAGCCACATTATGGCCGTCCATATTGACTGGGGCTACTTACTAAAACAAGAAATTGA